CCCCCCCCATAGAGTCTTAGTTTTGTTCTTAGCGTGACCGCTTTAGGTGTCTTGTTTCGTTTGGATGTCTTAACAGTTGTTTTGTCGCAGTATGTGAACATGCGTACTCTCTTGCCCAAAACCTTGACCCTAATAGCGAAGGCAGAGGGGTTTTACAGTTCAAAACGGGATTGATGTCTGTCATTAAGGTATATACACCATCTTATTGACATTCTAATTCAGCTGCAGTCGTATGGAAGTTGATTACCTGCATCGTAGTTGGATATATTCTTTATGTGTGATATCAGGGCTTTTTCTATTGTTATCTGTACGTTAAGTATGACTACATATATGCAATTAGAGCATAAGTTTCTTAAATTTGAATCAGCTCTTTGGACACTTGTGTGCATTTGTTACTGGACAACACAATGAGTTGAATTGCTTAACTGATATGCTCATGGTGTGGCCCTCAGATGTTTTATTCTGTTTTTTTTGGGTTAATTTCAGCAAAAGTTAGCCAAGAGAGACGGTGGTACAATAGACAGAAGCCGCGATATTATCCGATTGCAAGAGTTCTACAGGCAATACAGAGAAAAAAACAAGGTTGACCAGTTGAGGGAGGAGGAAAAGCAGCTGCGCGAGTCAGGTGTTTTCACTGGAGAGTATGTATAGTGATAGTCGTCCTTTTGTTTCTTAAATCTTTTGTGTAGTTTCTTTGGCTCTATTTTACCTTCATCTTTTTCTTATTTTTGTTAGCTGTTCAAATGATCTGTTATTCTTTCAGTTTGACATCTGTAGCTGTTTTTTTTATTCACGTCCTTTTTGTCCAGGTTGGAAAAGAAAACAGTGAGAAGGAAAAGAGTTTTCGCAACGCTTAAAGTTTTGGGAAGTGTGTTGGAGCAATTAGCGAAGGATATTCCTGAAGAGGTTTGGAGATTGTCTTTTAACATCTTTCATTTGGTTATGCGTTCGTTGAACTCTCACTGGAAGAATCTTACAATTAAAATAAGACCTTGGTTTCTGAAAAAAAAAGCTATGCGAATCTTGGTTTCTGTGCTTATGCAGTTGGAAATCTTGAATTTGTCTTCCACATTTTGTGGTCGACACTATTGCTTGTGTCTGTCCATCTAATGAAAAATATTTATGGACTTTCTTATGCACCAATGGAATCTTTAGACAGTCCAGATTGAATTGTTGGGTTCAGCAGGCTTCTGAAACAATAATTTACCCTCG